GCGACCCTCAGATTGCAAGTCGAGTGCCTTAACCATCTGGCCATGCCGGGCCAACATCATTAATATACAAGTTATTAATTGTTGATAAACAATTCCTTTAAGTCCAGCAGAATACTTTGCTAATCATACATTTCTAAAATTGCACCTACTAATTGTGCTTAAAAAACTCAATTTGTTATATAATTTTCTTTTTTAATTTATGAAAACTGTCAAATAAGGCTCAGTAACTGGCAATCAGTGCAAAATAGCCATAGAAAAACAAATAGGATAAATCAAGGTCTTTTAACACAACACAGTACAATGTCCATTGTTAACTTTGTTTGAGGATAACTCAAGAACTATTTGCGGAATCATTTTTAAATAATAATTCACTATATTGTTTTCTGATATTTTCAAGTTACACACATAAATGAACTACATTAGTTGATAACTGACTGGCTCAATGCACATTTACTTGTGGATTGAATTTATTCTACAAAATGTAATATTTATTTTTACATACAGAAAAAATTAAGTGCAACATTTCAAAGCTTTGCAAATGTATTTCCCAAAACTTTTACAAGCAAATTGAATAAAATGTTAATATGTTTACATATTCGAACAAGTCTTAAATTTAAGGAACACAGAAAGCCATTCATTTATTCTGAAGAATCCAAAAGCAGTACAAAATATTAAAAAGATTTTGTTAAAACCTCCAAATTGGTTGTGAAAGACCTATTTTGATGATGGTTGATTGCTTTTTTCAGTTTAAACCTTGTCAGGAATTTAGATGTTTCAGTGCAACAATAACCAGAAATATCTGAATAATAGTAAGAGACAAACTATAGAAAACAACCTCAAAAATGTATTAGTAAAGAGAAGAAGGGGAGAGTTTCATTAGCATTCGATTCACTATTTTCAAAAAAAGTTAAAGAATATTGGATAACTTCACAATGAAAATGTTACTCGATTTTGTCTTCACAGAATGGAAGCTCTAATCCACAGCTATTGTTTTAGCAGATTTAAAGTAAATTAGAAACTTTTCCAGATATTATAATACTCCAGATTTATCACCAATATGAGCCTGGTTAAGTCTTAATTTAAGGATGAATAAATTTTTCCCTAAGTACACAATTTTTATTCCAATTTTAAGAAATTAAAGTCTTACAAACAATTGATATCACAAGTAATTGTGCACATGAGAAGTACATGTTTAGATAAAGTAATTAAGTAAAGTCCTTTACCGTGTATTTGTTTTCTATTAACCCATTGACCACCGACTAACTTTCCGAGTTGCCAATGCAAGTCTTGCTATATTCCATTCCAACAATAAAACTAGTGGATGAAACTGCTTGAAACTTCATAAGAACTTTCATAAATGTATGTAGTTTAAGAAACATAAAGCCTGTTACTTTTGTATAAATTTAGTTATTTTGCATTATGATCTTTAATATCTTGGAAAATTACATTAGGAAATGGTATTTATAAGAAATTATTACGATACTTATATTTGTTCCAGATTTGAACTTATTACTTTTTATGTTTTAGTTAGATTATTTTGAAATCCCAAAAATTGGATCGTCCATAAAATGCAAATTTTATCTATTTTTAATTTTTTTTAATAATCAGGTACTCTTCTTATGGCTTCAAGTAATATACAGACCCGAAAATAATATTTGTAAATAAACCTAAACAATAAATGAGTGTTTTTATTTTTAACTAGGATTTCATGTTTATATATGTACATAAAAATATTTTAATTTTGTTTCATAAATATATTTTTATTTCA